GAGATTTACTAAAATTAGAGAATGCTCAAAATCGCCCAAATGTAATACCTTCGCATTATGATGAGAATGTAAAAATAAATTTTTATTAAAAATTTAAACAAAAAAAAAATTCATAATTTAATGAGTAAGTTACTTTAATTTATGTTAATTTAAGGTGGCTTAAAGAGAAATAATACATAGTTGCTCATATTTTCTCAAAATAAAGTAATTTCGCCCTGCATTTTACCCATTTTTCATCCGTTTTTGTCATTTTTTGTCTTTTTTTAAAAAAGTGGTATAACTTTTTTGTTTTAATCGCTATTAAAAATTGTCAAAGGAAAAAAGTGTTAATTTTTAGTCGTAATTTTCGAAAAGAAATTGAAAAAATTTTTTTTTGAAAAATGCGAATTTTAGAACTTTTTAAAAACTAAAAATTTGAATTATTTTGTTGTTTTTCAACGAAATCATCTGGCCAACGAACTCAGGCGAGATTTTGGTACACTTAAGGTGTATACCAAATTTGAAGTCGATTCATTAAAATTTGTTCGAGTTATCGTCGGACCAAATTTTGTCTACAGACATACAGGCAGACAGACATTTTTTTAGGACCCATTTTTTCGGCATCAGATAGTCTCAAAACGTCGAGATTTACTAAAATTAGAGAATGCTCAAAATCGCCCAAACGTAATACCTTCTCATTAGGGTGAGAAGGTAAAAATAAATTTTTATTAAAAATTTAAAAAAAAACAAAAAATTAGGTATTTTATGAGTAAGTTACTTTAATTTATGTTAATTTAAGGTGGTTTAAAGAGAAATAATACATAGTTGCTCATATTTTCTCAAAATAAAGTAATTTCGCCCTGCATTTTACCCATTTTTCATCCGTTTTTGTCATTTTTTGTCTTTTTTTAAAAAAGTGGTATAACTTTTTTGTTTTAATCGCTATTAAAAATTGTCAAAGGAAAAAAGTGTTAATTTTTAGTCGTAATTTTCGAAAAGAAATTGAAAAAAATTTCTTTTTGAAAAATGCGAATTTTAGAACTTTTTAAAAACTAAAAATTTGAATTATTTTGTTGTTTTTCAACGAAATCATCTGGCCAACGAACTCAGGCGAGATTTTGGTACACTTAAGGTGTATACCAAATTTGAAGTCGATTCATTAAAATTTGTTCGAGTTATCGTCGGACCAAATTTTGTCTACAGACATACAGACAGACAGACATTTTTTTAGGACCCATTTTTTCGGCATCAGAAAGTCTCAAAACGTCGAGATTTACTAAAATTAGAGAATGCTCAAAATCGCCCAAATGTAATACCTTCTCATTATGATGAGAATGTAAAAATAAATTTTTATTAAAAATTTAAAAAAAACAAAAAATTAGGTATTTTATGAGTAAGTTACTTTAATTTATGTTAATTTAAGGTGGTTTAAAGAGAAATAATACATAGTTGCTCATATTTTCTCAAAATAAAGTAATTTCGCCCTGCATTTTACCCATTTTTCATCCGTTTTTGTCATTTTTTGTCTTTTTTTAAAAAAGTAGTATAACTTTTTTGTTTGAATTGCTATTAAAAATTGTCAAAGGAAGAAAGTGTTTATTTTTAGTCGTAATTTTCGAAAAAAAATTGAAAAAATTTTTTTTTTGAAAAATGTGAATTTTAGAACTTTTTAAAAACTAAAAATTTGAATTATTTTGTTGTTTTTCAACGAAATCATCTGGCCAACGAACTCAGGCGAGATTTTGGTACACTTAAGGTGTATACCAAATTTGAAGTCGATTCATTAAAATTTGTTCGAGTTATCGTCGGACCAAATTTTGTCTACAGACATACAGACATACAGACAGACATTTTTTTAGGACCCATTTTTTCGGCATCAGAAAGTCTCAAAACGTCGAGATTTACTAAAATTAGAGAATGCTCAAAATCGCCCAAATGTATTACCTTCTCATTATGATGAGAAGGTAAAAATAAATTTTTATTAAAAATTAAAAAAAAAACAAAAAATTCGGTATTTTATGAGTAAGTTACTTTAATTTATTTTAATTTAAGGTGGTTTAAAGAGAAATAATACATAGTTGCTCATATTTTCTCAAAATAAAGTAATTTCGCCCTGCATTTTACCCATTTTTCATCCGTTTTTGTCATTTTTTGTCTTTTTTTTTAAAAAGTAGTATAACTTTTTTGTTTGAATTGCTATTAAAAATTGTCAAAGGAAAAAAGTGTTAATTTGTAGTCGTAATTTTCGAAAAAAATTAAAAAAATTTTTTTTTTGAAAAATGCGAATTTTAGAACTTTTTAAAAACTAAAAATTTGAATTATTTTGTTGTTTTTCAACGAAATCATCTGGCCAACGAACTCAGGCGAGATTTTGGTACACTTAAGGTGTATACCAAATTTGAAGTCGATTCATTAAAATTTGTTCGAGTTATCGTCGGATCAAATTTTGTCTACAGACATACAGGCAGACAGACATTTTTTTAGGACCCATTTTTTCGGCATCAGATAGTCTCAAAACGTCGAGATTTACTAAAATTAGAGAATGCTCAAAATCGCCCAAATGTATTACCTTCTCATTATGATGAGAAGGTAAAAATAAATTTTTATTAAAAATTAAAAAAAAAAAAAAATTCGGTATTTTATGAGTAAGTTACTTTAATTTATGTTAATTTAAGGTGGTTTAAAGAGAAATAATACATAGTTGCTCATATTTTCTCAAAATAAAGTAATTTCGCCCTGCATTTTACCCATTTTTCATCCGTTTTTGTCATTTTTTGTCTTTTTTTAAAAAAGTGGTATAACTTTTTTGTTTTAATCGCTATTAAAAATTGTCAAAGGAAAAAAGTGTTAATTTGTAGTCGTAATTTTCGAAAAGAAATTGAAAAAAAATTTTTTTTGAAAAATGCGAATTTTAGAACTTTTTAAAAACTAAAAATTTGAATTATTTTGTTGTTTTTCAACGAAATCATCTGGCCAACGAACTCAGGCCAGATTTTGGTACACTTAAGGTGTATACCAAATTTGAAGTCGATTCATTAAAATTTGTTCGAGTTATCGTCGGACCAAATTTTGTGTACAGACATACAGACATACAGACAGACAGACATTTTTTTAGGACCCATTTTTTCGGCATCAGAAAGTCTCAAAACGTCGAGATTTACTAAAATTAGAGAATGCTCAAAATCGCCCAAATGTAATACCTTCTCATTAGGATGAGAAGGTAAAAATAAATTTTTATTAAAAATTTAAAAAAAAAAAAAAATTCGGTATTTTATGAGTAAGTTACTTTAATTTATGTTAATTTAAGGTGGTTTAAAGAGCAATAATACATAGTTGCTCATATTTTCTCAAAATAAAGTAATTTCGCCCTGCATTTTACCCATTTTTCATCCGTTTTTGTCATTTTTTGTCTTTTTTTAAAAAAGTGGTATAACTTTTTTGTTTTAATCGCTATTAAAAATTGTCAAAGGAAAAAAGTGTTAATTTTTAGTCGTAATTTTCGAAAAGAAATTGAAAAAAATTTTTTTTTGAAAAATGCGAATTTTAGAACTTTTTAAAAACTAAAAATTTGAATTATTTTGTTGTTTTTCAACGAAATCATCTGGCCAACGAACTCAGGCGAGATTTTGGTACACTTAAGGTGTATACCAAATTTGAAGTCGATTCATTAAAATTTGTTCGAGTTATCGTCGGACCAAATTTTGTCTACAGACATACAGACATACAGACAGACATTTTTTTAGGACCCATTTTTTCGGCATCAGAAAGTCTCAAAACGTCGAGATTTACTAAAATTAGAGAATGCTCAAAATCGCCCAAATGTAATACCTTCTCATTATGATGAGAAGGTAAAAATAAATTTTTATTAAAAATTTAAAAAAAAAACAAAAAATTCGGTATTTTATGAGTAAGTTACTTTAATTTATGTTAATTTAAGGTGGTTTAAAGAGAAATAATACATAGTTGCTCATATTTTCTCAAAATAAAGTAATTTCGCCCTGCATTTTACCCATTTTTCATCCGTTTTTGTCATTTTTTGTCTTTTTTTAAAAAAGTGGTATAACTTTTTTGTTTTAATCGCTATTAAAAATTGTCAAAGGAAAAAAGTGTTAATTTTTAGTCGTAATTTTCGAAAAGAAATTGAAAAAAATTTTTTTTTGAAAAATGCGAATTTTAGAACTTTTTAAAAACTAAAAATTTGAATTATTTTGTTGTTTTTCAACGAAATCATCTGGCCAACGAACTCAGGCGAGATTTTGGTACACTTAAGGTGTATACCAAATTTGAAGTCGATTCATTAAAATTTGTTCGAGTTATCGTCGGACCAAATTTTGTCTACAGACATACAGACAGACAGACATTTTTTTAGGACCCATTTTTTCGGCATCAGAAAGTCTCAAAACGTCGAGATTTACTAAAATTAGAGAATGCTCAAAATCGCCCAAATGTAATACTTTCTCATTATGATGAGAATGTAAAAATAAATTTTTATTAAAAATTTAAAAAAAAACAAAAAATTAGGTATTTTATGAGTAAGTTACTTTAATTTATGTTAATTTAAGGTGGTTTAAAGAGAAATAATACATAGTTGCTCATATTTTCTCAAAATAAAGTAATTTCGCCCTGCATTTTACCCATTTTTCATCCGTTTTTGTCATTTTTTGTCTTTTTTTAAAAAAGTGGTATAACTTTTTTGTTTTAATCGCTATTAAAAATTGTCAAAGGAAAAAAGTGTTTATTTTTAGTCGTAATTTTCGAAAAAAAATTGAAAAAAATTTTTTTTTGAAAAATGCGAATTTTAGAACTTTTTAAAAACTAAAAATTTGAATTATTTTGTTGTTTTTCAACGAAATCATCTGGCCAACGAACTCAGGCGAGATTTTGGTACACTTAAGGTGTATACCAAATTTGAAGTCGATTCATTAAAATTTGTTCGAGTTATCGTCGGACCAAATTTTGTCTACAGACATACAGACATACAGACAGACATTTTTTTAAGACCCATTTTTTCGGCATCAGAATGTCTCAAAACGTCGAGATTTACTAAAATTAGAGAATGCTCAAAATCGCCCAAATGTAATACCTTCTCATTATGATGAGAAGGTAAAAATAAATTTTTATTAAAAATTTAAAAAAAAAACAAAAAATTCGGTATTTTATGAGTAAGTTACTTTAATTTATGTTAATTTAAGGTGGTTTAAAGAGAAATAATACATAGTTGCTCATATTTTCTCAAAATAAAGTAATTTCGCCCTGCATTTTACCCATTTTTCATCCGTTTTTGTCATTTTTTGTCTTTTTTTAAAAAAGTGGTATAACTTTTTTGTTTTAATTGCTATTAAAAATTGTCAAAGGAAAAAAGTGTTTATTTTTAGTCGTAATTTTCAAAAAAAAATTGAAAAAATTTTTTTTTTGAAAAATGCGAATTTTAGAACTTTTTAAAAACTAAAAATTTGAATTATTTTGTTGTTTTTCAACGAAATCATCTGGCCAACGAACTCAGGCGAGATTTTGGTACACTTAAGGTGTATACCAAATTTGAAGTCGATTCATTAAAATTTGTTCGAGTTATCGTCGGACCAAATTTTGTCTACAGACATACAGACATACAGACAGACATTTTTTTAGGACCCATTTTTTCGGCATCAGAAAGTCTCAAAACGTCGAGATTTACTAAAATTAGAGAATGCTCAAAATCGCCCAAATGTAATACCTTCTCATTATGATGAGAAGGTAAAAATAAATTTTTATTAAAAATTTAAAAAAAAACAAAAAATTCGGTATTTTATGAGTAAGTTACTTTAATTTATGTTAATTTAAGGTGGTTTAAAGAGAAATAATACATAGTTGCTCATATTTTCTCAAAATAAAGTAATTTCGCCCTGCATTTTACCCATTTTTCATCCGTTTTTGTCATTTTTTGTCTTTTTTTAAAAAAGTGGTATAACTTTTTTGTTTTAATTGCTATTAAAAATTGTCAAAGGAAAAAAGTGTTTATTTTTAGTCGTAATTTTCGAAAAAAAATTGAAAAAATTTTTTTTTTGAAAAATGCGAATTTTAGAACTTTTTAAAAACTAAAAATTTGAATTATTTTGTTGTTTTTCAACGAAATCATCTGGCCAACGAACTCAGGCGAGATTTTGGTACACTTAAGGTGTATACCAAATTTGAAGTCGATTCATTAAAATTTGTTCGAGTTATCGTCGGACCAAATTTTGTCTACAGACATACATACAGACAGACATTTTTTTAAGACCCATTTTTTCGGCATCAGAAAGTCTCAAAACGTCGAGATTTACTAAAATTAGAGAATGCTCAAAATCGCCCAAATGTAATACTTTCTCATTATGATGAGAATGTAAAAATAAATTTTTATTAAAAATTTAAAAAAAAAAAAAAATTCGGTATTTTATGAGTAAGTTACTTTAATTTATGTTAATTTAAGGTAGTTTAAAGAGAAATAATACATAGTTGCTCATATTTTCTCAAAATAAAGTAATTTCGCCTTGCATTTTACCCATTTTTCATCCGTTTTTGTCATTTTTTGTCTTTTTTTAAAAAAGTGGTATAACTTTTTTGTTTTAATCGCTATTAAAAATTGTCAAAGGAAAAAAGTGTTTATTTTTAGTCGTAATTTTCGAAAAGAAATTGAAAAAATTTTTTTTTTGAAAAATGCGAATTTTAGAACTTTTTAAAAACTAAAAATTTGAATTATTTTGTTGTTTTTCAACGAAATCATCTGGCCAACGAACTCAGGCGAGATTTTGGTACACTTAAGGTGTATACCAAATTTGAAGTCGATTCATTAAAATTTGTTCGAGTTATCGTCGGACCAAATTTTGTCTACAGACATACAGACAGACAGACATTTTTTTAGGACCCATTTTTTCGGCATCAGAAAGTCTCAAAACGTCGAGATTTACTAAAATTAGAGAATGCTCAAAATCGCCCAAATGTAATACCTTCTCATTATGATGAGAAGGTAAAAATAAATTTTTATTAAAAATTTAAAAAAAAAAAAAAATTCGGTATTTTATGAGTAAGTTACTTTAATTTATGTTAATTTAAGGTGGTTTAAAGAGAAATAATACATAGTTGCTCATATTTTCTCAAAATAAAGTAATTTCGCCCTGCATTTTACCCATTTTTCATCCGTTTTTGTCATTTTTTGTCTTTTTTTAAAAAAATGGTATAACTTTTTTGTTTTAATCGCTATTAAAAATTGTCAAAGGAAGAAAGTGTTTATTTTTAGTCGTAATTTTCGAAAAAAAGTGAAAAATTTTTTTTTTTGATAAATGCGAATTTTAGAACTTTTTAAAAACCAAAAATTTGAATTATTTTGTTGTTTTTCAACGAAGTCATCTGGCCAACGAACTCAGGCGAGATTTTGGTACACTTAAGGTGTATACCAAATTTGAAGTCGATTCATTAAAATTTGTTCGAGTTATCGTCGGACCAAATTTTGTCTACAGACATACAGACAGACAGACATTTTTTTAGGACCCATTTTTTCGGCATCAGAAAGTCTCAAAACGTTGAGATTTACTAAAATTAGAGAATGCTCAAAATCGCCCAAATGTAATACTTTCTCATTCTGATGAGGATGTAAAAATAAATTTTTATTAAAAATTTAAAAAAAAACAAAAAATTAGGTATTTTATGAGTAAGTTACTTTAATTTATGTTAATTTAAGGTGGTTTAAAGAGAAATAATACATAGTTGCTCATATTTTCTCAAAATAAAGTAATTTCGCCCTGCATTTTACCCATTTTTCATCCGTTTTTGTCATTTTTTGTCTTTTTTTAAAAAAGTGGTATAACTTTTTTGTTTTAATCGCTATTAAAAATTGTCAAAGGAAAAAAGTGTTTATTTTTAGTCGTAATTTTCGAAAAAAAATTGAAAAAATTTTTTTTTTGAAAAATGCGAATTTTAGAACTTTTTAAAAACTAAAAATTTGAATTATTTTGTTGTTTTTCAACGAAATCATCTGGCCAACGAACTCAGGCGAGATTTTGGTACACTTAAGGTGTATACCAAATTTGAAGTCGATTCATTAAAATTTGTTCGAGTTATCGTCGGACCAAATTTTGTCTACAGACATACAGACATACAGACAGACATTTTTTTAGGACCCATTTTTTCGGCATCAGAAAGTCTCAAAACGTCGAGATTTACTAAAATTAGAGAATGCTCAAAATCGCCCAAATGTAATACCTTCTCATTATGATGAGAAGGTAAAAATAAATTTTTATTAAAAATTTAAAAAAAAACAAAAAATTCGGTATTTTATGAGTAAGTTACTTTAATTTATGTTAATTTAAGGTGGTTTAAAGAGAAATAATACATAGTTGCTCATATTTTCTCAAAATAAAGTAATTTCGCCCTGCATTTTACCCATTTTTCATCCGTTTTTGTCATTTTTTGTCTTTTTTTAAAAAAGTGGTATAACTTTTTTGTTTTAATCGCTATTAAAAATTGTCAAAGGAAAAAAGTGTTTATTTTTAGTCGTAATTTTCGAAAAAAAATTGAAAAAATTTTTTTTTTGAAAAATGCGAATTTTAGAACTTTTTAAAAACTAAAAATTTGAATTATTTTGTTGTTTTTCAACGAAATCATCTGGCCAACGAACTCAGGCGAGATTTTGGTACACTTAAGGTGTATACCAAATTTGAAGTCGATTCATTAAAATTTGTTCGAGTTATCGTCGGACCAAATTTTGTCTACAGACATACAGTACAGACAGACATTTTTTTAAGACCCATTTTTTCGGCATCAGAAAGTCTCAAAACGTCGAGATTTACTAAAATTAGAGAATGCTCAAAATCGCCCAAATGTAATACCTTCTCATTATGATGAGAAGGTAAAAATAAATTTTTATTAAAAATTTAAAAAAAAACAAAAAATTCGGTATTTTATGAGTAAGTTACTTTAATTTATGTTAATTTAAGGTGGTTTAAAGAGAAATAATACATAGTTGCTCATATTTTCTCAAAATAAAGTAATTTCGCCCTGCATTTTACCCATTTTTCATCCGTTTTTGTCATTTTTTGTCTTTTTTTAAAAAAGTGGTATAACTTTTTTGTTTTAATTGCTATTAAAAATTGTCAAAGGAAAAAAGTGTTTATTTTTAGTCGTAATTTTCGAAAAAAAATTGAAAAAATTTTTTTTTTGAAAAATGCGAATTTTAGAACTTTTTAAAAACTAAAAATTTGAATTATTTTGTTGTTTTTCAACGAAATCATCTGGCCAACGAACTCAGGCGAGATTTTGGTACACTTAAGGTGTATACCAAATTTGAAGTCGATTCATTAAAATTTGTTCGAGTTATCGTCGGACCAAATTTTGTGTACAGACATACAGACATTTTTTTAAGACCCATTTTTTCGGCATCAGAATGTCTCAAAACGTCGAGATTTACTAAAATTAGAGAATGCTCAAAATCGCCCAAATGTAATACCTTCTCATTATGATGAGAAGGTAAAAATAAATTTTTATTAAAAATTTAAAAAAAAACAAAAAATTCGGTATTTTATGAGTAAGTTACTTTAATTTATGTTAATTTAAGGTGGTTTAAAGAAAAATAATACATAGTTGCTCATATTTTCTCAAAATAAAGTAATTTCGCCCTGCATTTTACCCATTTTTCATCCGTTTTTGTCATTTTTTGTCTTTTTTTAAAAAAGTGGTATAACTTTTTTGTTTTAATCGCTATTAAAAATTGTCAAAGGAAAAAAGTGTTTATTTTTAGTCGTAATTTTCGAAAAAAAATTGAAAAAATTTTTTTTTTGAAAAATGCGAATTTTAGAACTTTTTAAAAACTAAAAATTTGAATTATTTTGTTGTTTTTCAACGAAATCATCTGGCCAACGAACTCAGGCGAGATTTTGGTACACTTAAGGTGTATACCAAATTTGAAGTCGATTCATTAAAATTTGTTCGAGTTATCGTCGGACCAAATTTTGTCTACAGACATACATACAGACAGACATTTTTTTAAGACCCATTTTTTCGGCATCAGAAAGTCTCAAAACGTCGAGATTTACTAAAATTAGAGAATGCTCAAAATCGCCCAAATGTAATACCTTCTCATTATGATGAGAATGTAAAAATAAATTTTTATTAAAAATTTAAAAAAAAACAAAAAATTCGGTATTTTATGAGTAAGTTACTTTAATTTATGTTAATTTAAGGTGGTTTAAAGAGAAATAATACATAGTTGCTCATATTTTCTCAAAATAAAGTAATTTCGCCCTGCATTTTACCCATTTTTCATCCGTTTTTGTCATTTTTTGTCTTTTTTTAAAAAAGTGGTATAACTTTTTTGTTTTAATTGCTATTAAAAATTGTCAAAGGAAAAAAGTGTTTATTTTTAGTCGTAATTTTCGAAAAAAAAGTGAAAAAATTTTTTTTTTGATAAATGCGAATTTTAGAACTTTTTAAAAACTAAAAATTTGAATTATTTTGTTGTTTTTCAACGAAATCATCTGGCCAACGAACTCAGGCGAGATTTTGGTACACTTAAGGTGTATACCAAATTTGAAGTCGATTCATTAAAATTTGTTCGAGTTATCGTCGGACCAAATTTTGTGTACAGACATACAGACATTTTTTTAAGACCCATTTTTTCGGCATCAGAATGTCTCAAAACGTCGAGATTTACTAAAATTAGAGAATGCTCAAAATCGCCCAAATGTAATACCTTCTCATTATGATGAGAAGGTAAAAATAAATTTTTATTAAAAATTTAAAAAAAAACAAAAAATTCGGTATTTTATGAGTAAGTTACTTTAATTTATGTTAATTTAAGGTGGTTTAAAGAAAAATAATACATAGTTGCTCATATTTTCTCAAAATAAAGTAATTTCGCCCTGCATTTTACCCATTTTTCATCCGTTTTTGTCATTTTTTGTCTTTTTTTAAAAAAGTGGTATAACTTTTTTGTTTTAATCGCTATTAAAAATTGTCAAAGGAAAAAAGTGTTTATTTTTAGTCGTAATTTTCGAAAAAAAATTGAAAAAATTTTTTTTTTGAAAAATGCGAATTTTAGAACTTTTTAAAAACTAAAAATTTGAATTATTTTGTTGTTTTTCAACGAAATCATCTGGCCAACGAACTCAGGCGAGATTTTGGTACACTTAAGGTGTATACTAAATTTGAAGTCGATTCATTAAAATTTGTTCGAGTTATCGTCGGACCAAATTTTGTCTACAGACATACATACAGACAGACATTTTTTTAAGACCCATTTTTTCGGCATCAGAAAGTCTCAAAACGTCGAGATTTACTAAAATTAGAGAATGCTCAAAATCGCCCAAATGTAATACCTTCTCATTATGATGAGAATGTAAAAATAAATTTTTATTAAAAATTTAAAAAAAAACAAAAAATTCGGTATTTTATGAGTAAGTTACTTTAATTTATGTTAATTTAAGGTGGTTTAAAGAGAAATAATACATAGTTGCTCATATTTTCTCAAAATAAAGTAATTTCGCCCTGCATTTTACCCATTTTTCATCCGTTTTTGTCATTTTTTGTCTTTTTTTAAAAAAATGGTATAACTTTTTTGTTTTAATCGCTATTAAAAATTGTCAAAGGAAGAAAGTGTTTATTTTTAGTCGTAATTTTCGAAAAAAAATTGAAAAAATTTTTTTTTTGAAAAATGCGAATTTTAGAACTTTTTAAAAACTAAAAATTTGAATTATTTTGTTGTTTTTCAACGAAATCATCTGGCCAACGAACTCAGGCGAGATTTTGGTACACTTAAGGTGTATACCAAATTTGAAGTCGATTCATTAAAATTTGTTCGAGTTATCGTCGGACCAAATTTTGTCTACAGACATACAGACATACAGACAGACATTTTTTTAGACCCATTTTTTCGGCATCAGAATGTCTCAAAACGTCGAGATTTACTAAAATTAGAGAATGCTCAAAATCGCCCAAATGTAATACCTTCTCATTATGATGAGAAGGTAAAAATAAATTTTTATTAAAAATTTAAAAAAAAACAAAAAATTCGGTATTTTATGAGTAAGTTACTTTAATTTATGTTAATTTAAGGTGGTTTAAAGAGAAATAATACATAGTTGCTCATATTTTCTCAAAATAAAGTAATTTCGCCCTGCATTTTACCCATTTTTCATCCGTTTTTGTCATTTTTTAAAAAAATGGTATAACTTTTTTGTTTTAATCGCTATTAAAAATTGTCAAAGGAAGAAAGTGTTTATTTTTAGTCGTAATTTTCGAAAAAAAATTGAAAAAATTTTTTTTTTGAAAAATGCGAATTTTAGAACTTTTTAAAAACTAAAAATTTGAATTATTTTGTTGTTTTTCAACGAAATCATCTGGCCAACGAACTCAGGCGAGATTTTGGTACACTTAAGGTGTATACTAAATTTGAAGTCTATTCATTAAAATTTGTTCGAGTTATCGTCGGACCAAATTTTGTCTACAGACATACATACAGACAGACATTTTTTTAAGACCCATTTTTTCGGCATCAGAAAGTCTCAAAACGTCGAGATTTACTAAAATTAGAGAATGCTCAAAATCGCCCAAATGTAATACCTTCTCATTATGATGAGAATGTAAAAATAAATTTTTATTAAAAATTTAAAAAAAAAAAAAAATTCGGTATTTTATGAGTAAGTTACTTTAATTTATGTTAATTTAAGGTGGTTTAAAGAGAAATAATACATAGTTGCTCATATTTTCTCAAAATAAAGTAATTTTGCCCTGCATTTTACCCATTTTTCATCCGTTTTTGTCATTTTTTGTCTTTTTTTAAAAAAATGGTATAACTTTTTTGTTTTAATCGCTATTAAAAATTGTCAAAGGAAGAAAGTGTTTATTTTTAGTCGTAATTTTCGAAAAAAAAGTGAAAAAATTTTTTTTTTTGATAAATGCGAATTTTAGAACTTTTTAAAAACCAAAAATTTGATTTATTTTGTTGTTTTTCAACGAAGTCATCTGGCCAACGAACTCAGGCGAGATTTTGGTACACTTAAGGTGTATACCAAATTTGAAGTCGATTCATTAAAATTTGTTCGAGGGACCAAATTTTGTCTACAGACATACAGGCAGACAGACATTTTTTTAGGACCCATTTTTTCGGCATCAGAATGTCTCAAAACGTCGAGATTTACTAAAATTAGAGAATGCTCAAAATCGCCCAAATGTATTACCTTCTCATTATGATGAGAAGGTAAAAATAAATTTTTATTAAAAATTTAAAAAAAAACAAAAAATTCGGTATTTTATGAGTAAGTTACTTTAATTTATGTTAATTTAAGGTGGTTTAAAGAGAAATAATACATAGTTGCTCATATTTTCTCAAAATAAAGTAATTTCGCCCTGCATTTTACCCATTTTTCATCCGTTTTTGTCATTTTTTGTCTTTTTTTAAAAAAGTGGTATAACTTTTTTGTTTTAATTGCTATTAAAAATTGTCAAAGGAAAAAAGTGTTTATTTTTAGTCGTAATTTTCGAAAAAAAATTGAAAAAATTTTTTTTTTGAAAAATGCGAATTTTAGAACTTTTTAAAAACTAAAAATTTGAATTATTTTGTTGTTTTTCAACGAAATCATCTGGCCAACGAACTCAGGCGAGATTTTGGTACACTTAAGGTGTATACCAAATTTGAAGTCGATTCATTAAAATTTGTTCGAGTTATCGTCGGACCAAATTTTGTCTACAGACATACAGACATACAGACAGACATTTTTTTAAGACCCATTTTTTCGGCATCAGAAAGTCTCAAAACGTCGAGATTTACTAAAATTAGAGAATGCTCAAAATCGCCCAAATGTAATACCTTCTCATTATGATGAGAAGGTAAAAATAAATTTTTATTAAAAATTTAAAAAAAAACAAAAAATTCGGTATTTTATGAGTAAGTTACTTTAATTTATGTTAATTTAAGGTGGTTTAAAGAGAAATAATACATAGTTGCTCATATTTTCTCAAAATAAAGTAATTTCGCCCTGCATTTTACCCATTTTTCATCCGTTTTTGTCATTTTTTGTCTTTTTTTAAAAAAGTGGTATAACTTTTTTGTTTTAATTGCTATTAAAAATTGTCAAAGGAAAAAAGTGTTTATTTTTAGTCGTAATTTTCGAAAAAAAATTGAAAAAATTTTTTTTTTGAAAAATGCGAATTTTAGAACTTTTTAAAAACTAAAAATTTGAATTATTTTGTTGTTTTTCAACGAAATCATCTGGCCAACGAACTCAGGCGAGATTTTGGTACACTTAAGGTGTATACCAAATTTGAAGTCGATTCATTAAAATTTGTTCGAGTTATCGTCGGACCAAATTTTGTCTACAGACATACAGACATACAGACAGACATTTTTTTAAGTCCCATTTTTTCGGCATCAGAAAGTCTTAAAACGTCGAGATTTACTAAAATTAGAGAATGCTCAAAATCGCCCAAATGTAATACCTTCTCATTATGATGAGAAGGTAAAAATAAATTTTTATTAAAAATTTAAAAAAAAACAAAAAATTCGGTATTTTATGAGTAAGTTACTTTAATTTATGTTAATTTAAGGTGGTTTAAAGAGAAATAATACATAGTTGCTCATATTTTCTCAAAATAAAGTAATTTCGCCCTGCATTTTACCCATTTTTCATCCGTTTTTGTCATTTTTTGTCTTTTTTTAAAAAAGTGGTATAACTTTTTTGTTTTAATTGCTATTAAAAATTGTCAAAGGAAAAAAGTGTTTATTTTTAGTCGTAATTTTCGAAAAAAAAGTGAAAAAATTTTTTTTTTGATAAATGCGAATTTTAGAACTTTTTAAAAACTAAAAATTTGAATTATTTTGTTGTTTTTTAACGGAATCATCTGGCCAACGAACTCAGGCGAGATTTTGGTACACTTAAGGTGTATACCAAATTTGAAGTCGATTCATTAAAATTTGTTCGAGTTATCGTCGGACCAAATTTTGTCTACAGACATACATACAGACAGACATTTTTTAAGACCCATTTTTTCGGCATCAGAAAGTCTCAAAACGTCGAGATTTACTAAAATTAGAGAATGCTCAAAATCGCCCAAATGTAATACCTTCTCATTATGATGAGAATGTAAAAATAAATTTTTATTAAAAATTTAAAAAAAAACAAAAAATTCGGTATTTTATGAGTAAGTTACTTTAATTTATGTTAATTTAAGGTGGTTTAAAGAGAAATAATACATAGTTGCTCATATTTTCTCAAAATAAAGTAATTTCGCCCTGCATTTTACCCATTTTTCATCCGTTTTTGTCATTTTTTGTCTTTTTTTAAAAAAGTGGTATAACTTTTTTGTTTGAATTGCTATTAAAAATTGTCAAAGGAAGAAAGTGTTTATTTTTAGTCGTAATTTTCGAAAAAAAATTGAAAAAATTTTTTTTTTGAAAAATGCGAATTTTAGAACTTTTTAAAAACTAAAAATTTGAATTATTTTGTTGTTTTTCAACGAAATCATCTGGCCAACGAACTCAGGCGAGATTTTGGTACACTTAAGGTTTATACCAAATTTGAAGTCGATTCATTAAAATTTGTTCGAGTTATCGTCGGACCAAATTTTGTCTACAGACATACATACAGACAGACATTTTTTAAGACCCATTTTTTCGGCATCAGAAAGTCTCAAAACGTCGAGATTTACTAAAATTAGAGAATGCTCAAAATCGCCCAAATGTAATACCTTCTCATTATGATGAGAATGTAAAAATAAATTTTTATTAAAAATTTAAAAAAAAACAAAAAATTCGGTATTTTATGAGTAAGTTACTTTAATTTATGTTAATTTAAGGTGGCTTAAAGAGAAATAATACATAGTTGCTCATATTTTCTTAAAATAAAATAATTTTGCCCTGCATTTTACCCATTTTTCATCCGTTTTTGTCATTTTTTGTCTTTTTTTAAAAAAATGGTATAACTTTTTTGTTTTAATCGCTATTAAAAATTGTCAAAGGAAGAAAGTGTTTATTTTTAGTCGTAATTTTCGAAAAAAAATTGAAAAAATTTTTTTTTTGAAAAATGCGAATTTTAGAACTTTTTAAAAACCAAAAATTTGATTTATTTTGTTGTTTTTCAACGAAGTCATCTGGCCAACGAACTCAGGCGAGATTTTGGTACACTTAAGGTGTATACCAAATTTGAAGTCGATTCATTAAAATTTGTTCGAGTTATCGTCGGACCAAATTTTGTCTACAGACATACAGACATACAGACAGACATTTTTTTAAGACCCATTTTTTCGGCATCAGAATGTCTCAAAACGTCGAGATTTACTAAAATTAGAGAATGCTCAAAATCGCCCAAATGTAATACCTTCTCATTATGATGAGAAGGTAAAAATAAATTTTTATTAAAAATTTAAAAAAAAACAAAAAATTCGGTATTTTATGAGTAAGTTACTTTAATTTATGTTAATTTAAGGTGGTTTAAAGAGAAATAATACATAGTTGCTCATATTTTCTCAAAATAAAGTAATTTCGCCCTGCATTTTACCCATTTTTCATCCGTTTTTGTCATTTTTTGTCTTTTTTTAAAAAAGTGGTATAACTTTTTTGTTTTAATTGCTATTAAAAATTGTCAAAGGAAAAAAGTGTTTATTTTTAGTCGTAATTTTCGAAAAAAAAGTGAAAAAAATTTTTTTTTGATAAATGCGAATTTTAGAACTTTTTAAAAACTAAAAATTTGAATTATTTTGTTGTTTTTTAACGAAATCATCTGGCCAACGAACTCAGGCGAGATTTTGGTACACTTAAGGTTTATACCAAATTTGAAGTCGATTCATTAAAATTTGTTCGAGTTATCGTCGGACCAAATTTTGTCTACAGACATACATACAGACAGACATTTTTTAAGACCCATTTTTTCGGCATCAGAAAGTCTCAAAACGTCGAGATTTACTAAAATTAGAGAATGCTCAAAATCGCCCAAATGTAATACCTTCTCATTATGATGAGAATGTAAAAATAAATTTTTATTAAAAATTTAAAAAAAAACAAAAAATTCGGTATTTTATGAGTAAGTTACTTTAATTTATGTTAATTTAAGGTGGTTTAAAGAGAAATAATACATAGTTGCTCATATTTTCTCAAAATAAAGTAATTTCGCCCTGCATTTTACCCATTTTTCATCCGTTTTTGTCATTTTTTGTCTTTTTTTAAAAAAGTGGTATAACTTTTTTGTTTTAATTGCTATTAAAAATTGTCAAAGGAAAAAAGTGTTTATTTTTAGTCGTAATTTTCAAAAAAAAATTGAAAAAATTTTTTTTTTGAAAAATGCGAATTTTAGAACTTTTTAAAAACTAAAAATTTGAATTATTTTGTTGTTTTTCAACGAAATCATCTGGCCAACGAACTCAGGCGAGATTTTGGTACACTTAAGGTGTATACCAAATTTGAAGTCGATTCATTAAAATTTGTTCGAGTTATCGTCGGACCAAATTTTGTCTACAGACATACAGACAGACATTTTTTTAAGACCCATTTTTTCGGCATCAGAATGTCTCAAAACGTCGAGATTTACTAAAATTAGAGAATGCTCAAAATCGCCCAAATGTAATACCTTCTCATTATGATGAGAAGGTAAAAATAAATTTTTATTAAAAATTTAAAAAAAAAAAAAATTCTGTATTTTATGAGTAAGTTACTATAATTTATGTTAATTTAAGGTGGTTTAAAGAGAAATAATACATAGTTGCTCATATTTTCTCAAAATAAAGTAATTTCGCCCTGCATTTTACCCATTTTTCATCCGTTTTTGTCATTTTTTGTCTTTTTTTAAAAAAGTGGTATAACTTTTTTGTTTTAATTGCTATTAAAAATTGTCAAAGGAAAAAAGTGTTTATTTTTAGTCGTAATTTTCGAAAAAAAATTGAAAAAATTTTTTTTTTGAAAAATGCGAATTTTAGAACTTTTTAAAAACTAAAAATTTGAATTATTTTGTTGTTTTTCAACGAAATCATCTGGCCAACGAACTCAGGCGAGATTTTGGTACACTTAAGGTGTATACCAAATTTGAAGTCGATTCATTAAAATTTGTTCGAGTTATCGTCGGACCAAATTTTGTCTACAGACATACAGGCAGACAGACATTTTTTTAGGACCCATTTTTTCGGCATCAGATAGTCTCAAAACGTCGAGATTTACTAAAATTAGAGAATGCTCAAAATCGCCCAAATGTAATACCTTCTCATTATGATGAGAATGTAAAAATAAATTTTTATTAAAAATTAAAAAAAAAAAAAAATTCGGTATTTTATGAGTAAGTTACTTTAATTTATGTTAATTTAAGGTGGTTTAAAGAGAAATAATACATAGTTGCTCATATTTTCTCAAAATAAAGTAATTTCGCCCTGCATTTTACACATTTTTCATCCGTTTTTGTCATTTTTTGTCTTTTTTTAAAAAAGTGGTATAACTTTTTTGTTTTAATCGCTATTAAAAATTGTCAAAGGAAGAAAGTGTTTATTTTTAGTCGTAATTTTCGAAAAAAAAGTGAAAAAATTTTTTTTTTGATAAATGCGAATTTTAGAACTTTTTAAAAACTAAAAATTTGAATTATTTTGTTGTTTTTTAACGGAATCATCTGGCCAACGAACTCAGGCGAGATTTTGGTACACTTAAGGTTTATACCAAATTTGAAGTCGATTCATTAAAATTTGTTCGAGTTATCGTCGGACCAAATTTTGTCTACAGACATACATACAGACAGACATTTTTTAAGACCCATTTTTTCGGCATCAGAAAGTCTCAAAACGTCGAGATTTACTAAAATTAGAGAATGCTCAAAATCGCCCAAATGTAATACCTTCTCATTATGATGAGAATGTAAAAATAAATTTTTATTAAAAATTTAAAAAAAAACAAAAAATTCGGTATTTTATGAGTAAGTTACTTTAATTTATGTTAATTTAAGGTGGTTTAAAGAGAAATAATACATAGTTGCTCATATTTTCTCAAAATAAAGTAATTTCGCCCTGCATTTTACCCATTTTTCATCCGTTTTTGTCATTTTTTGTCTTTTTTTAAAAAAGTGGTATAACTTTTTTGTTTTAATTGCTATTAAAAATTGTCGAAGGAAGAAAGTGTTTATTTTTAGTCGTAATTTTCGAAAAAAAATTGAAAAAATTTTTTTTTTAAAAAATGCGAATTTTAGAACTTTTTAAAAACTAAAAATTTGAATTATTTTGTTGTTTTTCAACGAAATCATCTGGCCAACGAACTCAGGCGAGATTTTGGTACACTTAAGGTTTATACCAAATTTGAAGTCGATTCATTAAAATTTGTTCGAGTTATCGTCGGACCAAATTTTGTCTACAGACATACATACAGACAGACATTTTTTAAGACCCATTTTTTCGGCATCAGAAAGTCTCAAAACGTCGAGATTTACTAAAATTAGAGAATGCTCAAAATCGCCCAAATGTAATACCTTCTCATTATGATGAGAATGTAAAAATAAATTTTTATTAAAAATTTAAAAAAAAACAAAAAATTCGGTATTTTATGAGTAAGTTACTTTAATTTATGTTAATTTAAGGTGGTTTAAAGAGAAATAATACATAGTTGCTCATATTTTCTCAAAATAAAGTAATTTCGCCCTGCATTTTACCCATTTTTCATCCGTTTTTGTCATTTTTTGTCTTTTTTTAAAAAAGTGGTATAACTTTTTTGTTTTAATCGCTATTAAAAATTGTCAAAGGAAGAAAGTGTTTATTTTTAGTCGTAATTTTCGAAAAAAAATTGAAAAAATTTTTTTTTTGAAAAATGCGAATTTTAGAACTTTTTAAAAACCAAAAATTTGAATTATTTTGTTGTTTTTCAACGAAGTCATCTGGCCAACGAACTCAGGCGAGATTTTGGTACACTTAAGGTGTATACCAAATTTGAAGTCGATTCATTAAAATTTGTTCGAGTTATCGTCGGACCAAATTTTGTCTACAGACATACAGACATACAGACAGACATTTTTTTAAGACCCATTTTTTCGGCATCAGAATGTCTCAAAACGTCGCGATTTACTAAAATTAGAGAATGCTCAAAATCGCCCACATGTAATACCTTCTCATTATGATGAGAAGGTAAAAATAAATTTTTATTAAAAATTTAAAAAAAAACAAAAAATTCGGTATTTTATGAGTAAGTTACTTTAATTTATGTTAATTTAAGGTGGTTTAAAGAGAAATAATACATAGTTGCTCATATTTTCTCAAAATAAAGTAATTTCGCCCTGCATTTTACCCATTTTTCATCCGTTTTTGTCATTTTTTGTCTTTTTTTAAAAAAGTGGTATAACTTTTTTGTTTTAATTGCTATTAAAAATTGTCAAAGGAAAAAAGTGTTTATTTTTAGTCGTAATTTTCGAAAAAAAAGTGAAAAAAATTTTTTTTTGATAAATGCGAATTTTAGAACTTTTTAAAAACTAAAAATTTGAATTATTTTGTTGTTTTTTAACGAAATCATCTGGCCAACGAACTCAGGCGAGATTTTGGTACACTTAAGGTTTATACCAAATTTGAAGTCGATTCATTAAAATTTGTTCGAGTTATCGTCGGACCAAATTTTGTCTACAGACATACATACAGACAGACATTTTTTAAGACCCATTTTTTCGGCATCAGAAAGTCTCAAAACGTCGAGATTTACTAAAATTAGAGAATGCTCAAAATCGCCCAAATGTAATACCTTCTCATTATGATGAGAATGTAAAAATAAATTTTTATTAAAAATTTAAAAAAAAACAAAAAATTCGGTATTTTATGAGTAAGTTACTTTAATTTATGTTAATTTAAGGTGGTTTAAAGAGAAATAATACATAGTTGCTCATATTTTCTCAAAATAAAGTAATTTCGCCCTGCATTTTACACATTTTTCATCCGTTTTTTTCATTTTTTGTCTTTTTTTAAAAAAGTGGTATAACTTTTTTGTTTTAATTGCTATTAAAAATTGTCAAAGGAAAAAAGTGTTTATTTTTAGTCGTAATTTTCGAAAAGAAATTGAAAAAATTTTTTTTTTGAAAAATGCGAATTTTAGAACTTTTTAAAAACTAAAAATTTGAATTATTTTGTTGTTTTTCAACGAAATCATCTGGCCAACGAACTCAGGCGAGATTTTGGTACACTTAAGGTGTATACCAAATTTGAAGTCGATTCATTAAAATTTGTTCGAGTTATCGTCGGACCAAATTTTGTCTACAGACATACAGACAGACATTTTTTTAAGACCCATTTTTTCGGCATCAGAATGTCTCAAAACGTCGAGATTTACTAAAATTAGAGAATGCTCAAAATCGCCCAAATGTAATACCTTCTCATTATGATGAGAATGTAAAAATAAATTTTTATTAAAAATTAAAAAAAAAAAAAATTCATAATTTAATGAGTAAGTTACTTTAATTTATGTTAATTTAAGGTGGTTTAAAGAGAAATAATACATAGTTGCTCATATTTTCTCAAAATAAAGTAATTTTGCCCTGCATTTTACCCATTTTTCATCCGTTTTTGTCATTTTTTGTCTTTTTTTAAAAAAGTGGTATAACTTTTTTGTTTGAATCGCTATTAAAAATTGTCAAAGGAAAAAAGTGTTTATTTTTAGTCGTAATTTTCGAAAAAAAATTGAAAAAATTTTTTTTTGAAAAATGCGAATTTTAGAACTTTTTAAAAACTAAAAATTTGAATTATTTTGTTGTTCTTCAACGAAATCATCTGGCCAACGAACTCAGGCGAGATTTTGGTACACTTAAGGTGTATACCAAATTTGAAGTCGATTCATTAAAATTTGTTCGAGTTATCGTCGGACCAAATTTTGTGTACAGACATACAGACAGACAGACATTTTTTTAGGACCCATTTTTTCGGCATCAGAAAGTCTCAAAACGTCGAGATTTACTAAAATTAGAGAATGCTTAAAATCGCCCAAATGTAATACCTTCTCATTATGATGAGAAGGTAAAAATAAATTTTTATTAAAAATTTAAAAAAAAAAAAAATTCGGTATTTTATGAGTAAGTGACTTTAATTTATGTTAATTTAAGGTGGTTTAAAGAGAAATAATACATAGTTGCTCATATTTTCTCAAAATAAAGTAATTTCGCCCTGCATTTTACACATTTTTCATCCGTTTTTGTCATTTTTTGTCTTTTTTTAAAAAAGTGGTATAACTTTTTTGTTTTAATCGCTATTAAAAATTGTCAAAGGAAGAAAGTGTTTATTTTTAGTCGTAATTTTCGAAAAAAAAGTGAAAAAATTTTTTTTTTGATAAATGCGAATTTTAGAACTTTTTAAAAACTAAAAATTTGAATTATTTTGTTGTTTTTTAACGGAATCATCTGGCCAACGAACTCAGGCGAGATTTTGGTACACTTAAGGTTTATACCAAATTTGAAGTCGATTCATTAAAATTTGTTCGAGTTATCGTCGGACCAAATTTTGTCTACAGACATACATACAGACAGACATTTTTTAAGACCCATTTTTTCGGCATCAGAAAGTCTCAAAACGTCGAGATTTACTAAAATTAGAGAATGCTCAAAATCGCCCAAATGTAATACCTTCTCATTATGATGAGAATGTAAAAATAAATTTTTATTAAAAATTTAAAAAAAAACAAAAAATTCGGTATTTTATGAGTAAGTTACTTTAATTTATGTTAATTTAAGGTGGTTTAAAGAGAAATAATACATAGTTGCTCATATTTTCTCAAAATAAAGTAATTTCGCCCTGCATTTTACCCATTTTTCATCCGTTTTTGTCATTTTTTGTCTTTTTTTAAAAAAGTGGTATAACTTTTTTGTTTTAATTGCTATTAAAAATTGTCGAAGGAAGAAAGTGTTTATTTTTAGTCGTAATTTTCGAAAAAAAATTGAAAAAATTTTTTTTTTAAAAAATGCGAATTTTAGAACTTTTTAAAAACTAAAAATTTGAATTATTTTGTTGTTTTTCAACGAAATCATCTGGCCAACGAACTCAGGCGAGATTTTGGTACACTTAAGGTTTATACCAAATTTGAAGTCGATTCATTAAAATTTGTTCGAGTTATCGTCGGACCAAATTTTGTCTACAGACATACATACAGACAGACATTTTTTAAGACCCATTTTTTCGGCATCAGAAAGTCTCAAAACGTCGAGATTTACTAAAATTAGAGAATGCTCAAAATCGCCCAAATGTAATACCTTCTCATTATGATGAGAATGTAAAAATAAATTTTTATTAAAAATTTAAAAAAAAACAAAAAATTCGGTATTTTA